GCTGACATGTAAACTCTTGCGGGAAGCCAGCTGTCATGTCCTGAAGTAGTTCAACAGCCCTTGGCGAGGCCCAAGTGCCAAAGAACTAAGGTGTCCTTAGATATAGGCCACCAGTCCCCTCCATACCACCCCCGCCGAGCCTTCAGATGATGGCAGCCGCATGAGAGACCCTGACCCACAGCTGCCCAGCCAACCTGCTTTCAGATTCCTGACCCTCAGAAGCTCAGGTAATACGTGTTTATTATTTGTGTTCATTATTTGTAGCTATCAGTTCTGGGGGAAATAAACACCCCCCTTTGTTTGCTCTGTGTTCTTACCACTCACAGAATTCTCTACCTCACTCTGGCACGTCTAATCATCAGACGTGTGGAGGTTTTCATCACGCCAATCAGTTCTGTAATATCAGCTGGGTGTCCAGCAATTTAACTCAATTCTGGCACCCTCTACCCACATAGCTTCAGATCCCCCAGGTTAAGGGCTCAGCCCCACTAAACTTCCTGCACTGCAGACACCATAATTTGGGTTTGGGGATTCATTTGCTAGTGCAACTCACCTAACTCAGGAAACGAGTTTACCTGCTAGATTACCTGTTCATTACAGAAAATATCAACAGCCAGCCAGATGAAGAGATATCTAAGGCCAGGTCCAGAAGGATCCTAAGCAGAGAAGCTTCCGTCCTCTTGGAATTTGGGTTGTGACCCCCTTCCAGCAAGCAGATGCATTCTTGTTTACCAAGCCAAAGGCTCTAAGAACCCTATCCTTTTTTTTTTTTAAAGATTTATTTATTTATGCATACAAGACCTGGGGTACATGCCAGAGGTGCGGGTGTGTGTGTGTGTGTGTGTGTGTGTGTGTGTGTGTAAGAGGGGGAGAGAGAGAGAGAGAGAGAGAGAGAGAAAGGATTCACCAGAGACAGAGTGGGGAACAGAACAGGCAGATTGACTGAAATACACTGCTGAGGGGAGCAGCGGGTGAGACAGGAGAGGTCTGCTGCGCCATGTGGGTCAACTCTCTGGTGGGGGATCCAACTCGTGCTGCAGTGGCTGCAGATAGCTTCATAGTGCTGAGATTTAACCCATTGCACCACCAAGAAGGCCTGAACCCCATCTTTTTGAGTGTTTATGAAGGCCTGTAGGGTAAATGAATTAATCAGGCTTTTTATGCCACTAGCCTCTGTGGCTATCACCTGTGGCCTTAACGGTGCTAATGGAGGAGGCACTTGGGTACGTGGGTGTGGAGAACATGGGATGATTGTAGACACCTGGAACATGGGTGCGGGCATGCGTAAGCGTGCACACCTGCACCTAGAGGCCAGCGCTATAAGGGCGGCGTCACTCAGAGACAGGATGGCTAGGAGAGGAAGATGGCTATTGGCGGATGAGCTGCGTGACTACAGAGAGGCAAGACCACGAGGGTATGCCAGAGAGAGCCCTGAGAAAGTGTAAAAGATTCACTGGGGGCTGGGGGGCTAGTCAACTGTAGGGTAAGGAAAAATGTCAGGCTTTTCTGCCCTCCCGCCATCAGGATAGATGACGGAACCCTGCGGTCCTGAATGCATGCCTGATGGCGGGCACCTGGAGTAGGGTGTGGGCATAGGTAGATGGGATTCACCTGGGCTGAGGCTGGGCTTTTAAGGGCGGCGTCACGGGGATGCCAGTAGAAGCCAAAAGAGAAGCTGAGAAAGAAGCAGAGAAGACCGGAGAGGCCAGATAGAGTGAAGACTTGCTGGGGGCTGGGAGGTCTGCCAGCCTCCCGGCCCCCCAGCACCCCTGCCTGCCATATGCCTGGTAAATCTAAATAAAAGACCTGCAAAAGCCACTGAGGACTCTGACTCCTCCTTTACCCGGCCTGCTGGATCTTAGAAAACCTGCTCAGTGTCCTTTCCTGTTCCTACACCAACCTTCTGGACCCGCACCCCGGGCCCCTGCCTGCCCTGCCTCTGGTTGCCCCACTACAAGGCCTGATGCAAGCATGTTTGGGTGAATTAGCAACCACTGGGGATGAACTCGACCTCCAGTCCCTCTTCCTTCACTAAGGATTGGAGACTGTAGAGGCAGGAATGACACAGGGCAGGTTTTCTGATCCAGCAGACCGGGTAAAGGAGGATCCTGGAGCCCTCAGTGGCTTTTCAGGCTTTTGTTGGGATTTACCGGGTACATAGCAGTAGGGGTGCCAGGGGGTCAGGAGGCTGGCAGGGCTCCCAGCCCCCAGAAAGTCTTCACTCTATCTGGGCTCTCCAGCGCTTTCTTGTGGTTCTCTCTCCCTCAGCTTCTCTGCTTCTGTTTTTCTTCTCTCAGCTTCTGCTGGCGACCCTGTGAAGCCATCCTCAAAGGCCCAGTCTTAGCCCAGATGAATCCCCTCTACCTATGTCCACACACTCTATCTGGGCTCTCTCTGGCGTTCTCTCTGCTTCTCCTTCTCTAGGCTTCCGTTCGTTCTTGGCTTTCTGCTGGCGTCCCCGTGATGGTGCCCTTATAAACTCAGTCTCTCAGCCCAGGTGTACCTACCTCAGGTGCCCGCCATCAGGCATGCGTTCAGCACCACAGGGTTCCCTCATCTATCCTAATGGTGGAGGGCAGAAAAGCCTGATATTTTTACCTTACCCTACACTGGGACACAGAGCAAAGTGACCAGCGAGGAGGCCTGGAGCAGGTACAAGAGTGGCATAGAGAATGGGGGCGGAGCCAGAAAGCCAAAACTGGGCTTTGTGCTGAGCGGTAAGGAATGTGCCGCAGACTGAGGACACCTGTCCAGGCCCCAAGTGAGACAGGTGTGCTGGGAGGACTGTGGAGCTGAGCAGCTGGGCTCTGACAGGCCGAGGGCAGTGGAGGCTCCTGTACAGTGACCTCTGCTTTCAACTGCCTTTTTTTTTTTTTTAAAAGATATTTATTTATACAATCACTGGGTACAGTCAGAGCGCGGGAGGGTGAGAGGATTCACCAGAGCCAGAGCGGGGAGCAGAGCAGGCAGAAGGACCAAAGTACACTGCTGAGGGGAGCAGCGGGTGGCAGGAGAGGTCTGCACACCATGTGGGATCCTCCCCCGGCGGCCAGGGATTGAACCAGCGCTGCAGAGGCTGCAGGCAGCTTCGCAGCCCAGTTCTCAACCACTGCGCCACCAGGGGAGGCCCTCAACTGCCTTTTAAAAGGTAGAAAGTAAATTTATATTAACATTTATTCTATGAACATATATAAGCCCATATTATATAAAATCCGTGTGATACAATGTGTATACAATAGATGCAATTGTATGTACATATAGATATTATTAAATAACAAAACCCAGCCAGGTTAAAGACCTAATTGGCTTTATGAAAGATTCTCGAGTCGGGCGGCATGCCCCTGCAGGTAGACGAGAACTCCAAAATGCTGTCAAAACTAAAGGTTTTTATAGACAGAAAGAGGGCAGCTTCCCTATGGGGGAGGAGGGCGCCCAAAGGGTCCATGGCAGCCGCCCTCCTCTCTTTTGGGGACTGGAAAAAGGGACTTCCTTGCTGCAGAACAACACTCCATCCTGACCAGTTAAAACCGCATTCCCGGGAAAGGCTGAAACGTACTTGAGTATTTGCACAAGTGCCTCCATTTTCAGACTTTTTCTTAAAAAGAAAAGAAAGATGGGCCTCCCCTGGTGGCGCAGGCGGTTGAGTGTAGCGCTGCGGAGCTGTCTGCAGCCTCTGCAGCGCCGGGCCGGCCAATGAGAGTCCCACAAGGTGTGGCAGACCTCTCCTGTCGTGCCCGCTGCTCCCCTCAGCAGTGCATTTCAGTCAGTCTGCCTGTTCTGCTCCCCACTCTGTCTCTGGTGAATCCTCTCACCCTCCTGCACATCTGGCCTGTACCCTGGTTCTTGTATAAATAAATAAATAAATCTCTTAAAAAAAAAAAAAAGATACACTCACACACACAGAGAAACAGTAAATATCCATAGTATATATACTTGGATATTTGGAAGAGAGACAATCAAGAGCAAATATAACAAAATGTTAACAATTACTGAACCTGAGTGGAGGTTCCCTATCTGGACATTGATTGTGCTATGTACGTTCAGCTTTTCTATAGGCATGACCACTTTTAGTTTTTAAAGTTGGGGAGGGAAAGGCTTTCCAGGGTTTGTCTGACAAGACTCGAGAGCTCGGCCAGGAATGGGGCCACTGGGGATGACTATCTATTGGGTTTTCAGGAGCCACGATGCCTGGCATGATTTGAGTTCAGGAGGGTGGCTGGGCTGAGGTGAGCTGTTGCTTGGGCCAGGGAAGCCCATGAGGGGCTGCTGCTTCTTCATGGGGGCATTGTCTCTGCCCACCTGCCCTGGGCCCCATCTGGGAACTGTCTCCAGGAGACCTTGCGGTGCCCTGGCGGTGGCCAGAGATGGAGGAAGGAGAGAGGGCGAGAGGACACGGTCAGGGAGTCCAGCTCCCAGGCCAGGCCGGGGAGGGGGCTGCAAGGCTTGAGCGTGGGGGTAGAGATGTTCCCATGCTTACGCTGGGTGTGAGCTAATGCTGGGCTCTGCCCTGGCTAGCTGGGTCGTCTTGGACAGGCCCCCCACCCCTCCTCTCTACGTTCCTCTAGAAAATGAGGGTAAATCCCTCCTTGGGTGAGAGGCGCCATGGGAAGCCTCGCTGAGAGCTTGGGGATTGTTTAGAAGGAGATTCCACTGGGTGTGGCAAGCTGTCACTGGGGTTGCCTCCCCCTCGGGGACTGTTGTGTCCTTCCTGGCCCCTTCCTGGCCAGGGCCTCCTGGAGTGCGGGTGGGGTGCCTTGCCTTAGAAGCAGCAACTGATTGTTATCTTCAGACCCACCCTGGCCATGCCAAATCCAAGGGGCCTTCAGATTCTGCCCCAAACCTGTCCAACCAGTTGGCTGGAAGGAGGGGGCACCTGGGAGGTGTGGCAGGAGGTTCCAGAAATAGCCTCCCCCAGGCCGGCTCAGACAGCAAAGCCTCTGGGGCTTCGGACACTGCAGACAAACCCTCAGATGGACAGATATCAGGCACCTGTCCTGGCCATGGGGCACAGTGGGGGACAGTCTCAGCTACTGGTGCCCCTGTTGGTGCTGCTAACCTGTCTCCAGCCCGGGAAGGGCCTGGGTGAGTGAGGATGGGGGCTGGGGAGGGGAGCTACCTCAGGCTGCAGGCCAGTCCCGAGCGTCCAGGGACTGGGTCCGGGTGGGTTAGGGGAGAAAGCCCAGCAGAAGAGGGCAAAAACCGATACCTGTACTGGCAATGTTCCCTTCCTCTCTTTGGGATAGTCACCCCTTGTATCCCGAGGCTCTACCCTCCTTCCTGATCCTGAATAAAGATTTAAAGTCTACAAGGACAAAACTTACCCTAAAAGGACTGTCTCTGGGGGGTTGCAGGCACTGTTCAATAGTTGGGGTCTTAACAAGAGGGGCTTAGAGACGCAGTCCCCACCTCCATCTCTGCTGCTCACTGTACCCTTACTGAGGGCAGTGTGGCCGGCGCCTCAGCGGAAGGAGAGTGCTTACAATGACAGCTGGACTTAGGCTGAATAAAATGGAAATTAATCTGAACCAAACTGAAGGTTCTGGAGACTTGAATAAAAGCCCACCTCCTCTTTCTCCTGCTCACTAGTATTGAGCTGGAAAGAGGAGCCCAGAAAGTGTTAGGGGGTCTGAGCTCCCTGAGGAGCAAGGCTGGTTACGTTGTCTGTCCTGAAACCCCCAGCATGGGGGCTCTGACTTTTGTCCTCCACCTGGTCCTGCCCTTCCCAGGTAAGGCTGAGGAGCTGACAGGAGTTAAGTTCCAGAAGGGGAAGGTGCAGAGTGGAAAGTAGGGGAGCACTGGGTAGGGGGGAGGGGCTCTGAGCCTGGACCAGCCCCTTGCTGATGGCCCACATCCAGGCCTGGGGTGTTAGCGGGGGCTTTCCTGTGTCAACTCCCCACTCCCCAAGTCAGTCATTCCTCTCTTCAACACCAATATGGACCGTGCGGGTGAACTGGGGCTTGGGTTAGTTGGGGCTCCAAGTCTCACCCCAACAAGGCCTAAGACCACTTCCCAGAAGAACTGTGCTGGTCGCTGGGGAAGGGGCCTCATGTGCCTCCTCTGTCCCCTTCCCCAGGTCCAACCATCAGGCAGGGATCCACTGGAGCAGGTCAAGGCTGCTCCCCCGCCCCCCACAATGCCCACCCTTAGTAGGATCTCCAGGAAGGGGTGGGGCTGGACGCAGGCCACCCACCATGCCCCGGCACACAGCCTATAGGGCGCCCTCCCAGCCAAACCTGATTGAACTACTAGAAAGAGCTCTAATTCCTCCCACAGACAGGCCTTCCAAGACAAGCCACAGAGGGTACGTGGTGCACACACAGTGGTTTTCTCCAGTGGGTCTCAGAAGCCAGGGAGGGCTAGAAGAGAACTGGTCATTGGAGAGCCCAGGTTTACAGAGTTGAGGGAGCTCACAGAGGAGGCTCATGGGAGGAACGGTGAGATCCTGGCTGAATCTGAGGAGGAAGGGAAGCCATGGTGTGTGGTCTGGAGGGCAGGATAGCTGCTCAGGTCACAGGGTGTCCGCAAGAGGACTAGTCTGAAGGGTGGGGTGTGGGGAGGCTAATGGGCACCCTCCGAGATCAGCAAAAGATGATCATAAAGAGAGGGAAAGGCCTGTGTCTCCCCCCTCAGACTGGGCTCCCAGGGGGGCTTGGTGGTCCTATTGAGCCTCTTCTCTCTGCTCCTACCCCATCCCAGAGCGAATCAGCTATGTACCCCAGCTCTCAAGAACCAGCCTGGCAGGGAAACTCACCCAGTCCACCTTCACGCTGGAGCAGCCACGGGGCCAGTTCAGGCACCTCAGCATCTCAGACTTTGACCCCATCTGGCTGGTGGTGGCCGACAGCAAGGGTGGGTGCTGCCGGGCAGGCCTTGGGCCTTGGCTTCCCCGCTGTGAAATGGGCAAATGGGTCTGCTAGTGGCAGATGACGGGGGTGTAGGTGCTGCCAGGATGTGTCAGAGGGCTGGCTGGCTTGGTGGGATGGGGCTGGGACCTACCATGCAGCCCCACCTTCTGACTGGCAGTGCCACCCTCAGCCACCCAGAACTTCACCCCTCCTCAGAGAGAGGAGGACATCCCAGCCCAGGCTGACCTCGCCCGGAGGGGCTACTACCTCACACTGAGGGCCAACAGGGCACTCTACCCAGGGGACCCCGCCAGCAACCAGCTCCAGGTGCTCCGAGTTGGTAACGATACCCACTGCTCCCCAGAGACAAGGGGCTGCAACCACCCACTGCCCAGTCCAGGGCCCTACCGGTGAGTAACACTCCAGGCCCGGCTGGGTGGGGGTGCCCCTGCCTGTGTCCAAACCTGATCCTGGAGCGACTCCCAGCCTGGGTCTCCCTTCTAGTTTGACAACAGGAGGAGGGGCAGGGCCCCCCACTTGGACCCGACCCCCATGGCCATTTGGACCCCCAGACTGCATCTCCCCATCCAGGCAGGGTGTTGCCCAGGACAGGACTATCTCCAGCTCCATCTTTCCGCACTAAGGAAGATTTGCTAATGTGGGGGGCTCTAATGCACCCGCACACATTTCCCGAGTGAGGCCCAGAGTGGGTGAAGGATGCACCCAAGGCCACAAAGCAGGATTGGAGCCCCTTCTCATGAGCTCCAAGGCTGTGATTTAAGCCCAGATGTCCCTCCCTCTTACCCCCAGGCCCTGGGAGTCAAGGGGACAGGCACCAGGGTCTGAGGGTTCAGGAGCAGGGGGCCCCACCGCAGTGCTGGGTCTCTTATTTAGAGTCAAGTTCCTGGTGATGAGTGACAGGGGGCCTGTGGCTGAGACAGAGTGGTCCAGTGAGACCCACCTACAGCAAGGTATGCGTGGGCCATATGAGCAGGTCAAACACGAGGGCTGGGGGCCGGGAGGCCCAGGGGGCTCCCTAGGACTGGAGTGGGCTGAGGAGAATGGGCCAGCCCCTCCCCGTGAGTCAGCATCCTTACCATCCTGCCAGTCCTGGGCAGGGCCAGGAGGGAGATGGGCATTGGATGGAGGATGTTCCAGGTCTTCCTTCTCAGTCAGATCTCTCTCTTCCCTGCCTGCCCTGCCTCTCTCTGGGGTCCCCTTACACCCCTCAGCGGAGGCACTCCAGGCTGCCCCAGGGCCCCAGAGCCCTGGCACTGTGCTCATCATTGTCATCTTGTCCATCCTGCTCGCTGTCCTCCTTGCTGTCCTCATCTACACCGGGTAAGTGGACAGCACGGAGGCTGCTGGTATCCCCGGAAGGGTGCCATCTCTAGCCTGGACCCCTTCATCCCCTGCCCTTCCCTCAGGCCTTCTCCTACGGCAGGCCTGTGCCTGTCCCCAGCCCAGCAACCCTTGCTAGTCCAGCTGAAATGGTTCTCCCTGAAGGTCAGACAAGGGGTCTCCATGATTTCAGAGCCTCTATGTACTGAGCTAAGATGGGGGTGTGTGTGCATCAGCCCCTCTCGCCCTGGTCCCTCAGTCAGCTGCCTGTCCACTGGGTCCTCACTTTCAGTGGCCCCTCTCGCCCTCTGGTGGCAGCGGCTAGAAGTGTGAGTGGGTGAGCCGTGGCAGCCAGGTGGGAGGCCTGAGGCTGTGGTGAAACGCTTCTAGCCCAGGGCTGACCTTTGCCTCCAGACTTCATTCAGAACTCAGCCGGGGCCTGATGGAGCGGGGGTCCACAGGCTTCCTAGGGGCAGAGGGAAGCCTGGCCCCGGGGCAGGACTTTGGGAGGAGAGGAAAGGAAGAAGGTGGGCAGGTGCTGGGGCAGGAGGGTTGCCAACAGGCAGGCAAGGCCAGGGTTGAATCCCGGCTAAGGAAAGGACCTCAGAAGTCAGCAGGAGCCAAGTGTGCGTCCTGAAGAGGGGAAAAGACTTGCGGGGATGTGGTGAGTGGAGGAGAATACGGAGGCCGGGCAATGACAAAGGGTGGGGCGGAGGAGCTGAATTTGTGAGCTTTAGGAATAGGTTAGAGGGATAATCCTTTGGTTAATCTAGCCTGGCTGGTAGAACCTCAGTTTCCCCGACGCTGCAAGCTCCCAGTAATAGCTGAGGGATCGGCCCTGGTTGATCTTTCCCCCTCGTTCTTCTCCCCATCCCCTACCCAAGCTTTACCGCCCGCAGGAGTGCTCCCATCTCTGGCCCAGGGGATGCGGTATGTTTGAGAAGATATAACAACCACCATATGTGCATCCCTCCAGCTGTGGGGAGCTCCTGAGGGGCTTCGGGACCCACATTTGCCCCTCAGCCTCCTCCCTGGTCAGGGCTGCAGAGACTGGGTGGGGATACCTGGCAGCTTCTGGAGCCCTGGGAGAAGTTGTTCTAAACGAGGGGGGAGGGTGGGTGTCCTTAGCCCAAAGCTTGGGCCTGTCATTGTCAGGAATAAATGTCACCAATATCCCCTGAATGTCTGGTGTCACTATCCCAGGTGTCACTGCACACCTGGCTGGCCTTCCTGCACCCCATCCTGGCTCCTCTGGGAATTTCAGGAGGATATAGGACCAGGTGAGGTGCAGGGTCCTAGGCCGGCTGAGCCCTCTGGGGCAGGGTGAGCCTCGCTGTCCCTGTCTGTTAGTGAGGAGGATGCTGCTGACCCACTGGGCCATGGGGAGGCAAAATCAAGGTAGTGAACATGGCCCCCTCCCCTCCCCTTCTCCCACCCCGCCCCGCATGTCTCGCCAGGAATGAGAGAAGGGAGACTCAGACGGAGGCTTCCTGGCAGGTGTAGCCTCTGAGAAAGAGCAGCGCCCCGCCAGGTGGACAGGGAAGGGGGAGCAGGGAGTGACAGCTTCTGCAAAGGTTTGGAATCAATTGGGGACTGTTTGTCTTGTTTGTTTTTTTTTTAAGATTTATTTATTTATGCATGCAAGAACTGGGGTACAGGCCAGAGGTGTTGGGATGGTAACAGGATTCACCAGAGATAGAGTCGGGGGCAGAACAGGCAGATTTATTGAAACGCACTGCTGAGGGGAGCAGCGGGCGAGGCAGGAGAGGTCTGCCGTGCCATGTGGGTCAGCTACTTGGTTGAGGATCGAACTTGTGCTGCAGAGGCTTTGGATAGCTTCACAGTGCTGAGACTTAACCCCTTGCGCCACAGGGAGGCCCTGGGGAGTGGTTTTGTGGGCAGGTTGGGTCAGCAGAGGGTGGGGTGAGGAGGGGCAGGGAGGCTGGGAGTGCCCCATGGCTGGGTTCCCAGGTACAAATGGCCCTAAATGGTTTGTTAGCAGATGCAGGCACATCTGGCTCCAGCGACGGTGGAAATGCTCCCATAACCATGGAGGAGACAGCCGGGAGGTGCAGTGAGTTAGTGGGCAAACAGGCTCCCAGCCTCTGCCCATGTAAGCTGTGGCCTCTCGGGAGCCTTTTCAGAGCAGACAGGAGCCCAACCTTGGGGCCAAGTGACCCTGGAGAGATGGCTTAGCCTCTCTGGACCTCAGTTTCCCCTTCTGTGAAAGCAGAGTTTGAACTGGGTGACCCCTGATCCTGCACACCACAAACTGATGGATACCCTGTGCGGGCGGGGCCGGCCAGGAAACAGATGGCAGGCTATCTAGTAGAGCAATTGCGAGCGTTTGCTAAGGTGTGGGCAGTGTTAGGGCAATAAACAAGAGATGGGGGCCCCTGGGTACTGATGGGGCTATATAAGTGCTTCTGTACTGAAGGCTGAAGGAGAAGGGAGTGGCGTTTCCTGAGCTGTGACCTGGAGCCAAGGGAAGGCTGTCCAGCAAGAGGAGGGGCTTTCCAGCGGGGGGGGGGGGGGGGCACAGCCCCTGGAGGGAGCTCTCCCCCAGCTTCTCACCGCCTGCTGGCGCCTCCACTGGCCACACCCTTCCAGAAGCAAGAGAGCAGGGGTCCCGGCTCATAAACAGGATTCCAGGGGGTTCTGGAGGCTGCAGGGCCTGTACCAGCCCTCTGGGCCCCAAGCAGGAAAGGGAAGATTCAAGAATGGACAGAATGGACAGAAGATTCAAGAATGGACAAGGTGGCACTAGGGGCTGCCACGCACCCACGGCACCCGCACTTCTGCCACCACATGCTCTCAGGCCCACCATATCGCCATCTCCAGACACCAGTGGGCTGTCCTACAATTTAACTGGGTTCTGAAACTAGCTACTTGGAGTTAGGGAAGACCTCACAGGAGAAGCACTCAGACCCTCAAGACTGCCCCAGCTCAGACACCAGTCACAATTATGGGTGCTCGGTACGCCCACCTCTGTCCAACTTACCCACAACACCCTCCTCAGATTGCAGCATTCACTAGAGTCGCTCACTAGTAGAGGGGCATGCGCAGGGGGCTCTACAGGAGCTGACCCCTAATTCTTAGAAGACAGGGGCCCTGGATGCCTCCCATTGGATACCCCAAAAGTCTCGCAGGTCACCACACCACACCCACAGCGAAACCTAGAGCTGCCCCAGCCCCAGGCCTCCTCCTGGCTCTCTGGTCCTGTGGCTAGTGCTGGAGAAAACCCCAACCCTCCCTCCTGCCCCCAGGCCTCCCGGGGAACTTGCACCACCTCCTGGGGCAGGCACGACCTGACCACAGAGACTGAAGCCACTGCCTTGGGACAGTGCTGGGCCCAGAGCAGGGGCTGGTGGTGTGACCCTGACCACAGCAGGTGGCTGCACCAGCCCGCTCCACACTCCAGCTCTCAGCACACAGACCCGGGAGAACAGACTCTGATAATGACCCTGAGCCATGGAGTGAAGGAGTGACATGCCGTGGGCCTCGAGGCACCTGCCATCAGCCTGGAAATTAGCACATGGATGGGGGTGGGGACCTGCGCATCGCCTTCTGCCCTCTCTATATTTCTGTCCGTCTCTCTGTGTGTTTCCTTCTCTTATGTTTTTCTGCCTAAATCTCGCTTGGCTCTTATCTCTATTTTTAACTTTGACAAGCCCTGGGAACTTAGCTCATTTCCTGGGGGGATGTCGTCTGAGCTGGTCCAGAGATGGGCATGACCTATTCCCAATAAACACAAGATAAAATCAGAGAGCTGGCTTCTGTTCCAGTTTTGGGCTCAACAGGAGAAAGAGACAAAACTGAAGCAGAAGAATGAAGGGGGAATGAGGGATGGGACCGTTCACAGCCTTCTCCCCCAAAATGCAGCAGGTACTGAAGTGTCGCCCCAGGCCCAGCCCACTGGCCCTTACCCCAAGGCCCTTTGCAGCCTCCACTCCTACCTCCATGTCCTGCCCCCTCCTCCAAATGCCCAGTGTCCCCTGCAGCAGGAGCCTGGGTGGCCTGAGGGGACCACTGCGGGAAAGCGGGCAGTTCTGCCTTCCCCCTCCCACAAGTGTGTGTTTGCACCTGCTCCCTTGGCACAGGCTCTGGACTCTCCAAGGATCGCTGGCTCACACAAGGGGTTGAAGGCTCGGGGGGCACTGGCCCCAGGAAGGTAGGAGGGCTGTGAGGTCAGGACAGGAAGGAGTCAGATCCTCCAGGAGTCTGGGCTGCTTGTTGCAAGGTCTGACCCCAGCAGTCTAAGCTCCCTGGGGAACATTTCCACCTTGGGGCACAGAGATTCGGGGGTGGGGTGTGACCCTATTCTCCTGGAGAATAGGGGAGGCTCCTCCTAGGAAGCTTAGCTCAGACAGAGGGAGAAGACTTCTCCTCCCTCCCAGGACCTACGGGTGAGCCCCAGGTTGAGATGCATCACAGGCTGCTCCCCTGGGGACTTGCAGGGAGGCTGGACATAAGACATTGCAGGGGCTGGCATCTGTGCCTGCTGGGAGGGCTTTCACTGCCCACAGTCAGGCCAAAGGCTCCTGGGTCTGCTGGATGATGGCACAAGGGCTCTTGCCCACCATTCCTCTGGCCCCTGCTCCCACCTCCTGTCCCTTTACCTGGGTCCCAACCTCCTGATCCTTCAAGCCTGGCTTGGACAGTGCTTTCCCTGTGGCCCCTTCCATTGCAAGTTTCTGTCCCCTTGGAGTCTCCTGGACCCCAGAATATCTCCTGATGGCCCCCAAAGCTGATTCCACATCCATCTCCTGTGGGGGCAAAGGACTGAAAGACTGATGTGGAGACACAGACCACCATTGTCAGCTGCCCCTGGTCACTCCACCCGACACCCAGAAGGCCTGTGTCTCCCAGAGGGAACCGACCTCAGTACAGCATTTACTGGGTGCCGGGAACTGGCCTGAACAAATTGTGCATGTGAACCCTGAAATTTGGGGACAATCCCAATTAGCCTCATTTTGCAGGTCAGAAGAGGAGGCCTGGGAAGCACTGTCAGTGTAAAAAGCTGAGGACAGAACCCAGCGGAGAGCGGGGTAGGGACGGATCTCCGAGGAGCCCCAAGCTGAGCAGGTGGAGGAGCAGGTAGGGAACTGGGAGCAGAAGCAGCAGCACAACACAATGTGACTTGCTGCTGAGGAGCAAGACCCTATATTTGGCTGGAGCCTGGGGTGCCGGGGAGAGGTGGCTGAGGTCGGTCAGGGAAGGACCTGGGCAACAGGACTGTACCCTGCAGGTGCAGAGAACCCACGGGCGCTTTGAGGTGAAAATCATAAGCTCATTTGGATTTTGCAAAGAAAACTGCAAGGGGCTTCGGAGGGCGGGTTGGGGTGTCCTTCATGGAGAAGCATCGTGCCCAGCTCCCTCACCCCTGCCTGTGGTCAGGGAAGCAGCTCCCTTAATGTCCCGCCCTGACGCCCCCAGCTTCCTCAGTGGGAGGATGAGGCAGGGCGTGCCCAATCCTTTGTGGAAGGTTCAGAAGGTTAATGAGAACAAAGCACGTAACTCTATTTAGAAGGATGAACTTCTGGGAAGAGAGGAACTTAGGTCTGGGCTGAGGGCCAAGGTCCGGTGGGTGACCAACAGTACCTCTGGTAACTGCCTGTTGAGTTGGGGCCATGGGTGGGGCCTCTGACCAGCCACCATGTCCATAGTAGTCTCCAAGAACACCAGAGACCCTGAATGGAGACATCTCCTGCCTCGACGGGGCGAGAGACCCCTTTTTTTCCCACCAAGGGCCTGCTCTTGCCTGGGCTGTTTGGGAGGCGGGTACCCAGGGCCTTGGTTGTCCCCACTGAGCATGAATATAGTGGAGGTGAAGGGAAGAGTAGTTCTGAATCCCACCTGGACCCTAGAGGGACCCTAGAGAAGGCATCTGCTCCAAGATATTAAAACGTCAGGGACGTCAGGCCTGTGTTAAGTCCCCAAAAAGTTTCAAGCTGCCCTATGCTCGAGCAGGAGCTGGCACTTGAGCCTGCGGC